GATGTGTATGAGGAGACAAGACATCAGGCTGCCATCAGCACAAATGTATCTGTGCCTTATTTTTCTGCTTTCCTGGCTCCCAGACAAGTGCCACTAAAACCAACAATTTTCCTGTCCTTTCTTTCCTTTGCTTTCACAAGTTTCTTAAACCAAACCCCTCCTTCCCAGCAGAAACAGGATGCGCTGCTGGGTATAGAATAAAAAAATCAGTATTTTTAATCCCTCAAGGAGAAACAGGCTCAGGCTCCTTCATTGTGCTTGTGGCTGCAGACTTGGACACCACCAGCCTGGCTGTGCTCCATGGGCCTTGCCTATTCTCCTGGCTCCTCCAGAGAGGGAGAGCTGTGGAGAGGGGCCCAGACACTGCAGTTCTGGTGATACCTTAAGATTTTAGGCAACAACAGTTGTTTCCCACTGCAGGTCAAAGCAAGCAGGAGCCTCCTGGCTACAGGCACATTGATTCACCTCCCTGGGGACAATCTGCAAACATGGACAGGAAGGAAGAAGGTGGCTGCAGGGCATTTGTCCATCCTATCCTCGTGGCTTTTGTGGGAGAGGCCAGCAGGCCCATCACAGCCTGATGAACAGAGATCCCTTCTAAAATGTGTCCCACAAGCCCAACTCTAACTCCAGGCACTGCCACCCAAGGGAGCGAGAGGAGTCTGTACCACAGTTGGGGCGGCTCAGATCCAGAGCAGGACAGGGGGACAGTGGTCCCAGGGGTCCCAGCACATGGGCAGGGCAACAGTGCTGTGCCTCGGAGCACACTCACAAGCGGAGCTGATTTAATAAACAACAGGAGTGTTTTCCCAGGCCACATGCTGAGCTGTATTCAAAATACATTTGTACGAACATCAATTTTTAATGCCATTTATGCCAAATGTTGTTGCAAAAAGCAGCCGTTAACATGACGTTAATTCAATCACTGGAAATACAGTACGTGCTACTAAATGAAAACATGTTATTAGTCAATTCGATTAACTGGATGTAACTCTTCCAAACACAACGTAATATGGTTTCTACATGGTTAATTACGTCATACAAATTACATGGCAATCGGGCTTAGCACTGGGCACACACATACAATTAATATATAAGTAGAAAAAACAGCTTGTGATGCACATTTGAACTCTGTAAAAATTATTTGAAATATAAATATCTTGCAGGCTTTAAATAAAGAGGCAGAATTATGCTGATACTATAATGAGAACAGGGCAAATTCTAAAAGAGCCAGGAAGGCCTTTGTGAGGAGATCACAGATGTTCATGGTTACTTTCACAATGAGTTTTAATCTGCTTTAAAAAGACCATTTTAATTTTAAAGATAAACACTCCTGGCCCTGGTGGCGTCTGTGCAGGAATCTCTCAGCGCCCATGCAAGGCTCCTCTGTGTTTTAGGAAGAATTTGTGCCCACTTGCGGGGAATGGTGCCAAGCCCTGGCGCAGGGAGCGGGCACTGTGCCCGGCAAACCGCAGGCACCACCAACCCTCGGCACAGCGCCTGTCCCACCACACAGACCGCCGGGCGGGCACCGGGGAGCCCCGAGCCTCTGGCGCCTCCGGGAACCCCCAGCGGGGGATCAGTGAATGCCTAACGCCGGGGGCTCTGGAAAGAGCAGGCTGTTCTTGGGAAGGACTCGGTTCCGTAGCCAGAGGGCAGCTGCAGCCCACGCCGGACATCCGAGGAGGCGGCCCCGTGGTGACCCCGTCCTGCACGCCCGGACGGGGCTGCCCGGGGACCCACCGCCCCCAGGGCAGCTTTCACTGCTGGCATAAGGTGGTTGGCAGCTCTGGGAGAACAGAAATCCAGGTCCTTGTCCCCTGGGGCTCTGGGACATGGGGCAGTGGTTCCCCCTGCCCGGGGACCCTCAGGACCCTGTGCTGCGTAAGTGTCCGACAGCTCGTCACTGCACACGGGGCGGAAACAGGCGGGTGGTGGAGGGTGGTGGAGCTCTGGAAACGCAGTTTTAAAGCTATTGCTGCAATGATTATCACAGTTCATGGAAACGTGACTCGTCTCCTCAGATTGGTAATCCCGACAGCACCCAGCGAGGCTCAGGTGCCTCCGCGGCGCCGCAACAGCGGGAGGGCGTGAGCAGGGGCGCGGATGAGGGGAAAGGGAGATGTGCCAGTGGTCGTCACCCCGGTGCCCTGCGGCTCCACTGGTGGGGGTGGATGCTGCACTGACAGCTGCAGCCCCAGCTCCCGGGTGCCCACCCCTGCCCAGGGACAGGTGCTGTTACGGCCAGGCTGCCGGCGCTGGTTTAATTTGACATACCCAGGGGCACGGTCCGGGAGCCGCCGGAGCAGTGGTATCGGCTTATTGGTTTCACAGGGAGCGGGGAGCGATTTCAGCAGCCGCCGAACGGCCGGCGCAGACACACACCAGCGCGCTGCCGCTGCTGCAGCCACTGAGAAAGCAGTGATAAAGCTCTCGGAGATATTCCTGTCTCATCTGTCTCGAGTAAATCAGAGCAAAGCTGGAAACATCAGAGGAGGCAAAATGCAAAAGAAATAGGAAACTCCCTACTCCCAGTGAAGGCAGAAAGTGGTCTAACATGACCACTGGCAGCAGAAGGATTTCACATGATCGGGGGCTGCTTACATGAGGAACTGTTCATTATTTAGTGGCTGCTTAAGGGGCTGAGGGAACAAAAATCAAAGCTCCTGCTGTTGGCTGGCTGATGAAAGGGCTGCGGCCGCCCCACTGCAGCCGTGTTTCCCTCCAGCCTCACCTGCGCCGGGAGCTGGAGAGGTGTCTGGCTGCTTGCTCAGAAATGAAAGCGCTGAGAATCAATCATTTGTTTACATTGTATGACTTGTTGAAAATCAATTGGCTCCACATGCTGCAGATCTGATTGCATTTTGTTAGCAGTCACAGGGAATGGTTTTCCCTTGACATGCCTGTGTTCGTGGTTTCTCCAATGCATCAATTGTACCAAGCTTTTAGGATAATTGAGCCTGAGCAACAATCCCCTTTATAAATATTAACTCTGATATGCTTGGGAAACTCTGCCTCTCCTGGATGAATTTTTAACTAGCTTTTTAATCTATCGCTCCTTGTTAGAACAGCAGAAGTGTTCCTTGGTGCCTGTTCCTGCCTCCCAAGTGCCAAGAGAGTGGCATCCCTGCTGAGCCCTGCTCCCAGGGCAGGGACCCAGAGCCCCTGGTCCCAGGAAAGGGCCCACTCCTGCTTTGCCCATGGGAACAATCCCACAGAGCAGGGACACAGGGCTGAGAGAAGCCGTGCAGGGGCTGAGGAGAACCTCTGGTTTCTTCCAAAGGGACTGGTTACACTGGAATGAGTTTTCATGTGAATCCTTGGAAATTTCCTTAGGTGATGCCCAGGACAAGCAGAGGCCAGTGATGGGGAAATTTCTTGGAGCAGGTGCCCTTCCCTGTGCCCACCCACCACAAATGGCCTCTCAGGTGATGCAGTCTCAGCACCCAGCGTGGGGACAGGTCCCTCAGAAAAACTGGGGAGATGGTGCTGTTCAGCCATGAGAACTGCAGAGATGGGGGACCCCCCCAGCCAGACCCAGACCCACCACACTTGGGGGCCCAGGACACACTGATGGAGGGATGTCCCCTGGAAGGATATGCTGGGCTTGGGGAGCTGGGAAAGCTGTGAGTGTGGGATGGGCTCTTCTCTCTAGCAGGGGCTGCCAAGCCCCTCTGAGCCTTCCTTTCCATTGGTGTTTGGTTCTGCAGAGCAGCTGGTCACAGTCCAACAGCTCCGGCCCAGCTCAGCTGAACTGTTTCTTTTCCCCCACAGTCAGATGTTGCCTTCTTTAATATCATCTGAACGTCTGTCAAACTGTGGATTTTTTGTGAAACCTCTGTACAGGAAGAAACAAAAGGCAGCAGGGAAGCTGTTGAAATGAAAGCCTTGCTTTACATTTCAAATGCTTTAACAGATTTTTCTTTCTTTTTTTTTTAGATTTTTAATAAAAGCTTTTAAAAGACTGTTTTTTTAATGGTGATTGCTTGCCAAGGGACATGTCTATGGGGATGTGAGGAAGCTGTTGCACTCAGAGGTTGCACAAGTCACTGGCCCAACTAGGCTTGGCGTTCCAGGCTGGTGCCTGCCTGTTCCAGCGGAGTGGCTGCCGATATTCTACAGGGGCAGGATGGATGGATTGCCTGGAGAACCTGGGCATGGCCTGCCAGCATTTGCCTAATAGGCATCTTGGAAATGCTTCTGGGAGCTGAGCCTGCCTTCTGAGCAGCTGCTGTTTCTCTCCAGTAAGTATGTAAATCCTAGCACATTCCCGAGCGCAGGAGGTTTCTGTCAGGGTCCAGAGGCTGCACACTGCTGCCGTGGTTGGGAGACCCCAGGGGGGACTCTGGAGCTTCATGGTGGGAGCAACATCAGGTGAAATAGCTGTTCTTGGGCACCCGCTCATGTTACAGGGCAGTACTTTTGGGTTTTTAAGCAGTCTGTATTGTGCTGTGACTATTATTAAAATGCTGCAGTAGTCTGTAGCAGTGCGGCTTGCTCTGGAGGGTGCACAGAAATTTAAGTCCAAGTTGTGTTCTTGTAGGCCAGGCTGGGGACAGCAGCATTTATCCCATGTGGAGCCAGACCCTGGCACAGCTCTGCCCCGGTCTGTGCTGTCTGCACCTGTCTGGGTCAACAAATGATGGCTGGAGTGGCCAGATGCCAAGCAAAGGGCACTTGACTGTCCCACTGCCTTCTCCTGAGCCCTAGGTGTGGTGGTACTTCGCCACTGTGGCTGCTCCATGGCTGCCCTTGGCACACTGCGGGCTGGGAACACCAGCACTGCTGCCTGGGGTGCTCCTGGCCCCTCTGCCCCTCAGCCCTCTGCCACCTGTTGGCTGGTGGCAACACAAGACACCTCCTTCGTAAGGATGAAAATGAAATTCCTGATGCCAGGATGACTGCCGGGCTGTCAGGAGACATTCCTCTGCCGACACCAGCCTGGCAGCCAGGAGAACCACTGGCTGGCTGTC